GGCTCGACGGTAATCCCTTGCTTATTAGTAAACTATTTTTGCTTGAATGTTTTCTAAAAATGAGAAGATAGCGTATCCTCGCATGCAAAGAAACATTAGAAAGTTCTTACACAGATATTTAATTGTAAAGTGTCATGGATCGAAATTCGAAGCAAGGGAGGTATTAACGCAAACAGTGTGCACATTATTTTGGGACAACCTTCGTACAAGTAATTGCTTATGCATATCAAAATGAATACGTTATAGCTTAGGATAGAAAATCTTGTAATTTGTCATGTATGCGTTTTTGAAAACGTTAAGACCGACTCCATTATCATTTTGTTTTTTGCTTGTTGCAAGATAAAACTCAGCTTTGTCACGTTCTAGATAAAGACGCTATCAGGGAAATAAAGACGCTGATAATCCGACCATTATGACTGTAAGTATTCCAGATGATAATCGCGTCTTGGCTTCCTGCTAATTCTTTACAATTTTATTGGGTTGTATAGAAAGTTGCCAATAGAGATTAAGCCAAATTGTTTTATTCATTTCTTCATCATAAGTGTCCATCAAAGATATTTTGGTCATGTGCGCTAATAATCTTCGACCACTGATTATGTACATCGTGGATACTCTTTTCCAAGAAGAGCGCCCGTTTCCCGTTCAAAATATCGAACTTCCCACCCGTTTAGAAACGGGTGGGAAGTTCGATATTTTTAACCGTAAAATTGATGAATTAAATTCATGAAATGAAAAATTAGCCACGCCAGTAATGTCGACATTCTGCGCGCGCAGTTGGCCGGAGTCACAGGCGTAGCTATTTGCTCAAGCGCCAGTTTTACCGCATTTCACCTACAGTGCAAGCACACCATATTGCGCAGAAAATCTACTCGACTGTACATTTGTGTCAAAGGCCGGGTGAAAATCGTAACTTACACGTTTTTTATCGCTATACATTTAAGCCAAATTTTTCTTACAAGTACAGCCTGAAAATAGCAAAACGTAAGAACTTGAAATTCTTCGAAACAATTTCGAACTTATATTAATGACTGCGTCAAGTGAGCCTCAGAATACATACACAATCAAAGAATATTCCGGAAAGGGAGAAGTATACCCTCTAATCTGTATAACACGAGTAACGTCGTTTTAAGTCTGACTTCCTTCCTTAGCCGAAGTGCTTGCATTGTAGCTGATATGTGGACTCGTAGCCTTGTTGCAACCTTCCCTGGAGTCTTGGTCTCTCCCCGATAGACCGGTTAAGGTTGCTTAATATACTCGTTTTCTAACCTCCGGGATGCTTGTTTGAATGCTCTCATCATCGTTTTGTTGGCAAAGCAGTACTCCGTTATCATAACCTCTCTGCATTTAGGAAGTATCGGTCTCTCCGGCGAGCCGGTTAAGGGCAGCGTTCCACCAGACTGGGGTGTTCTGGCTCTGGTAGTAATCTAATAGCAGATTACCTAACTAAGCGACAATAGAAGTTTGCAGCGCGAAAGTGGTCTACAAAGTTTACATATCGCCCCTTAAGTGGCACGGATTTTACGGTAGGCTCGGGCGAGTAGGAGATGCATGCAAGGTAGAGACGCAGATCGTTGCGGGACCCTGCGCTCATGATTGTGTGCGCTAGGCGGCGTGCTCTGGCCTTGCAGTTCGAAATCGCTGTGCGGGAGGCATTCGGGCCTACCGTAAGATCCGGGCCACTTTCGGAGCATAGATGCGATAGGTGGAGAGATTTCTCTGACCCCCTTCACTTTAGGGCTGGTATCTGGTTGACCCCTTTCACCTAAAAAAAAAACTAGAATCAAGGCATAACGGCATAATCAAACAGCTGTTACAACGGCATTTTGTGTTCGGAAAGGGAAGCCAGCTCTTCTTTTCAGACATCACGACTACAAGAGAGTATCGAAGTAGCAGCGTTTTGTTGAAAAAACGCATGCTTGAGACCTTCAGCGCACTCAAAGTGGCGTTAGTAACGAAACATAATCAAAAATTAAAAGGATGACTGATTCTTTGAATAATTAACATTGTATCAATGAGTACACACTGTCACAGAAAGAGTTGAGCATGAGTAGAAAATCTGGACTAGCCAATGATGGATGCATGTTTACTGACAAGAATCGTACTATATCTCCTTTCACTAGAGAGAATAATTACAAATAAAAGGGCATTCAGATTGCTCGTTTCTCAAGCTTTCGAATCATATATAAACTTCGAAAAAAAACTTCTTGGTCTGAAAAAATAATTACTCAGAATTGACTGATATTGTAGCTGGGTAAAATTGCTCATATCTCGCTTCACAGAGAAGCTAGGAAAAAAGAGATGGTCTTGTTTTTGTCAAGAAATTCCTGCGTGAAGAATGAGTGAAGGTGCCTGATTTTCTAACAGTAGCATAGAGCAAGACCTTGCCAGTAAACGTAGACCGTCTCTTTTTTTCTAGCTCCCCTCTTTCTCTCAGAAGTGGAGCGCAAAGTGATTGCATAATATTAATTGATGCTGAAGCTAGATCTGATTTCTTATATGTAAATTCACAAGAGAGCTGGAAAAAAAGAGACGGTCTACGTCGATTCTATATGTCTCAAGCTTTCGTATGGTATGCCGACTTATGAAACACAAAGCTTTCCCAAGTCAAAAAAAAGTCTCTATTAGATGACCTTCGATGACCTGAGCATTGAGATTGCGTCAGCATTCATCTTAAGACTCAGTTACCCTCTTCACTTTTCTAGATCGGAAATAGCCAAAACCCCCTTCACCTAAAGAGGAACCTGCTCCCCCTATCGCACCTATGTTTCGGAGCAAATTTCAGGCTTGATAGACCCCTTTTTCGCACCGAACTTCAATCATCGCTTAGTAGTCTACTTTAACATCGCCACAGAAACCCGGCATCTTTTTTTGCCGGAATGCTGCCTTTAAGGTTGTTCAATATACTCGCAGTCCGACTTTCCGGTTTGCTTGTTTTATTCTCTTAAAGGCAGTGGGTCGGCAGAATGAGACCAGTGGCAAAACAAGGTTACAGGGTAGGAGCCCCATAATGGAACCTATGGGCCAAACTTCGATCTTTCTCTGCCACTTCTAGCCCCCGAAATTTCAAAGCGAAAGCAGCGCTCATCTCCTGTCCTCTCCGAACCCGCCCACCCCATGGACGAGTGACTTCCCCGGTCAGAGCGCAAGCCGCAGTGCTATAGGCATGAGGTCCCGCAACGACTCTGCGTCTTCGCCATAACGGGCCTCGCCTTCACTCGTCCATGGGGTGGGCGGGTTCGGAGAGGACAGGAGATGAGCGCTGCTTTCGTTTTGAAATTTCGGGGGTTAGAAGTGGCAGAGAAAGATTGAACTTTGGCCCGCAGGTTCCATTATGGGGGCTTCTACCCTGTGACCTTGTTTTGCCGCGGGTCTCATTCTGCCGACCTACTGCGTTTAAAGGCAGTGTCCAGGCAAATCTGGCATGGGTTTTTTGCCTGGAACTGAGATTCCAGCTGAGGCACTGTCCAAACCGCAGCGCAAATGATTCATTCACGACTAAGAAATCTACCCCAAACACTCCGCGCCTGCGCCGTTACCGTACGACTTATTGTTAGAATTGGTTCCGGCGCGAACGTAGCGTTAAAGTGAGAGAAATCGTTTTCTGATTGCGGTCACGGCGCAGGGCGGGATTTTTTGGGACGGATTTCCCAGCCGTAAATGAACCATTTGCGCTGCCGTTTGGGCAGTGCTTTAGCTAGGACTCCCTCATTATTTTCTCAGGGAAACTCATGCGCCTAAATTTGCCTGGACACTGCCTTTGAGATCGTTTGCTAGCAAACAATTGACATGCATACCATCTCCATAGATAAATATTAGTCTGCTAATATTGCGTGAGCAGACAAGGGATGTCATATAACTTAGAGTCGCATTTCGAGATGAAACGCATATATTCGGAACAGCGTTGAACGCTCATTTCAAATATAGTGTTCCTAGCTGCGGCACACTACTCTGAAGGAATATTGACTTCTTCTACGCACAATTCGCATGCTATTTGACCTACTGGCGTTAAGATATCATCATCTAAATGCAATCACTCCGTAAAGTTACTTGTCAATGACAAAACCAGTCTGATATCATTCTGGTATCCCAGCACCCTTTTTAGGCAGAATTCCCTCTCATTCTTCCCATGTTGAATTCCCTCTCATCCTTGTATGCTTTATTTGATATTTGTTAAAATTCTCCATCCGCCAATCTTATTTGGTCAAAGGTCGGCTAAATTTTAAAAATTCCATTTTAGAGTTTCCAAAATGGTTAAGTATGATTCTAATAGAGCAATTCTCGGATTACAAGGCTACATTTTTAGATTCTTCTAATCTGCTGTTTATAGCTTGAAAAAATTATCCCTTAAGAGGTCTCGATTTTTGGCAAAGTCATGAAACACGCAACTGCAGCAAATACACGGAAATTTTCATAGTTTCTGCGAATTGAAAAATGATTCTTTTTAAGCATTATTCTTGCAACATGACCAAGTTTGATTTGCCTTTAAAAAGCAGCTTTTTGGAATTTTCGGTACTTTTACGTGGTAAATGTAATCAAAAAGGTTTTTTTGGATTAATTAATTATAGCGGACTTGGTAAACGTGGCCTACGTAATCTAAAATGGGTACAATATAGCCAAAGGTTGCTCTACATAATAGTTACTAGCGCCCTTCGAAAACGCCAAGATAAAAATTTTCAAAATTCAGGAAATATTTGGCGTTACTGCTGAGCTGCTCAAAAAGCCATGGCGATGACATTGCAAAGACAGGGTAGATCAGATAGAAAATATAGCTCTATGAAAGAGGATAATAATCTGAATTAAATGGTATTTAGCTTGCCCATGGATTGATGTTCTGTGAGTTTCAGTGATCGTTGAAAGAAACCGACAAAACTTTCGGGACAACCTAATACTTTGTCAGAATGCATTGTCTTCCCGATCTGCTAAAGTGTCTTGCATGTTACTCAACGAAATCGTGTTCGCTCACAAAAAACCGTATGCAACAGTAAAAGCAAGTGTTCAGGATGAGTTCGATAATGTTCTGGTTCTTTGTATGGATTACATTGGCAAGCACTTCTATAAACCCGAGCAGCAACGAACTTATTTCAAAGTTTGTATTTTACTTTGACAAAGCCCAATTGAAAACATTGACTTTACAGAAGTTTGGACCAATTTCCAGGATTTTCCTCTCTCAAGGATTCTCACGAAGGTTAGCGAGATATCTCAAAACTTTGTACATTAACTGAGACCCAATCAAAACTTTGAGGTTCTTATAACTTTGAGAGGGACGATTTTAGGTTAAAAAACCACTTAGAGATATTACTATCATGCTAGTATTCACAACAAACATTTGAAAAATTACATTCACATTAAAGGAATTCAACCTCGATTTGCCATCAATCTTTATTCAAGAGGCCACCTTAAGATTGAGATCTTTGTTGTGGTGCTCAGAAATTGAACCCTAAATTTCGTTGATGAATATGACCACTGGAGAACGTTGCAACTGTTTAAAATATTGGCCTGTTTTTTAAAACCTTTCAGGGATGTACTCATCATGTAAAAAGGCAAGATAAATGCGACCGCTCAGAGAACGGCCATGCGATTTATGGGCAAGCGGCACCGAAAAAATAGTTCGGTGATTTCTTGTGGTTCGCTAGCAAATGTTGGGAAGAATGTTGCCACTCCTAGACGAACTAATGGAGAACGTTCACGTCTTTTTAATAAATTAATTGTGGCTGCATTCTCGCGGGATTTCTACAAGAATATGCGAAATTGTTGAAGGCCGCACGTTCCTTTGTGAAGGCCCGCACAGCCCATAGGTACCTTCGCTGGCTGCCCGCTGGCAGGACATGCGGCAGTAAAGGAAGTGCCGCTCGCTGAAGGCTTAGTCACACCCCAGTATTCGGCTGACCGCCTGCCCTCAACGGTTATCTGAGCGCTCTAGCCTGCGACACAGTCTGCATCTCTCCCGCAGGCGTGCCCTCTGAGGCCTCGAAGCCCCGCCTTCCATCCGCCAACCCCGTTTAACACGTTTCGGACCGATGCTGCACATGGTGCAGCACGCCGCACATTAGAGGATCTTTGCAGGTTTTCTTTCAGTCCATGGTTATTGAGTCAAAGGTCTAATTTTCAAATAACCTTGTAGAGCTGTGCCGCCGATATTTGTTTAGGAGATATGAGGAAAATCGAACAACAGTTGCAAAGAAGTGCGGCAACGCAGACGACGCGTGCGACGTCGCAACTTTTCTTTGCTTCGATTTCAAAGAGATAAAAAGTAGTTTCAATAATGATGAGTACATTGTACAACATAGATACTTTTGGGCACTATTTGAGACTGAGTTCTTGTTCCTATCTTTCAAGAAAGCACAAAAGCCCCTCTCAGGCGACAAAATTCAAACACTTCAAGTTCACTCAGAAGTTTGGGTGTGGAGCTTATCGGTCATGCTGATTACAGATGTAGTCGACAATCTGCGAAATAAGGTTCCTTTGTTGGCTAACGGCCGAAAGTACGCTCTTTTTCGTCGCGCGCGATTTCGCGGTCCGAAACGTGTTAAGGTACGTCCAAATTTACACTTTGCATGCACGACTTCTTTGTAAGGTGGCTCATGACTCCGCTCACAAGACTGTCTGGCAGATAAAAAAGACAAATTTGAAGCCAGGGTTCCATGCTATATCCAAATATGCAGGTTGTTTAGATTGGCCACTTTGGCTTTTGATCATAGATGCGATAGGCGGAAAAATTTCTCTGACCCCCTTCATCATGGCCGGCGTCTGGCTGACCCCTGTCACCTGATGCTGAGGCTAGAATCAAGGCATAACGGCAGAATAAAACAGCTACTACAATGACACTTTTTGTTTGGAAGAGAAAGCCAGCCGCTCTTCTCCTCAGACATCAAGACTACAACAAAGCATTAAAGCAACGCATGCACTTTGAGTGCAAAAGGAGGTCTCAAGCATACTTGAGATCTCCTGTTGCACGTAAAGTGGCATTGATAAAGAAACATAACCAAAAATTGAAAAGATATCTATTTTTAAAGCAAATTGTCGCAGGAAAGAGTTGAGCAAGAGTAGAAAATCTAGACTGGCCAATGATGGTTGCATGTTTAAAAAATGACAAAAATCGTACCATATCTCCTTTCATCAAAGAGAATAATAACAAATAAAAGAGCAATTAAATTACTCGTTTCGCAAGCTTTCGAATCATATCTAAAACTTCGAAAAAAACCTTCTTGCTTTCAAAAATGAAGAGCATGAAATGATTACAAAAAATTGGCTGATATTGTAGCTAGATAGAACTGCTCGTAGCTCGCTTCACAGAAAAGTTAGGAAAAAAGAGACGGTCTATGTCAATTCCCCGTGGTCCTAGCTATCGAATGGGCGGCGTGGCGTTATACTACAAAGGCCTCGCCGCCAAAGCTCGCCGCCTTAGTCGGACGCGCACCAAGCTGGCGTACTGTATATTCCGCACCCATTTTGCACCGGTGAGCCTAAGCCATGAGGCGATCGCGCGAATTCAGCCTCGCCAGCTCTGTCGCGGTGCGACGTCGCGCGCGATGTCGCGAATTTTACAAAAAGTTACATGAAAATACTCAGAAAAAATTCCTCTTTCAGATTTAAACGTGCGATATCGTCCGTCGCGCTGTATAAAGTGAAAATTTTAGAAAAATTTGTTAATTTCTTGTTTTTATTTGATTCATGTTCGTTTATATTTCCAATTAAAAACAAAAAATTCGTTTGGAAACTCTCTAGTGTTTCTTCAGTTTTCTTTTTTTTTGTTTCACGTTTGTTTTTGCCATGGTATGGATACTTAATTGTCACTGCAAGCTGTGACCTGTGGCCTAGATTGCAAGTTGAGGTTAGTAGCACGGCGATGATGACTTGCGGACTTAACTTATTAGGACAAAAGTAGGTAGCTGATGCCAGAATTTCTTTCCTCAATTTTACTTGAAAATGAACATGAATCAAATAGAAACAGGAGATCAACAAGCTTTTTTTGAAATTTTCACCTTATGTGGTGCGACGGACGATATAGCACGTCAAAATCTGAAAGAAGAATTTTTTCTGAGTATTTTCATGTAACTTTTTGTAAAATTCGCGGCATCGCGGCGGACGTCGCAACGCGACAAAGCTGGCGAGGCTGCGTCCGCACGATTGCCTCATGGCTCAGGCTCACCGGTGCAAAATGGGTGCGGGATACAGTAAGCCAGCTCGGCGCGCGTGCCGACTATGGCGGCGAGGTCTTTTTAGTATAACGCACGTCCTCCATCGAATGTATACAAAGTGTTGGTGCATAAAGCTTTTCCAGCCCAAAAAAATCTTGCTCTGGTGACCATAAAAGCCAAGCCATTGGAGGAGCTGGGTGGAGCAGGCTAATAGTAAAAATCTCCACCTTGTTTTGGAAGAGCCACAAGTTTTTTTCACTTAACAACCTATATACCATTAGAAAGACACAGAGATTCAAAGTAGACCATAGCCCGTAGTAAACCCCTTTCAGCTCAGATAATCTGCGCTGACCCCCTCAGAAGAGCCGTAAGCTTATCTTACGATCCCCCTTGTTACAGTGCATTAAGAATGGACGATGAGCTGACAGCCAAGGGGCTGGTCAGCTGCCGCAGTGAGCTGCATTGCCTGCCCTAAGCGAAGCTGTCGACGTCGGCCTGGCTTACGGAGATAGCGTGTCTGCAAGGAGACGCAGACACAAATCCCGTAGGTTGCTCGTGAGTAACTTACGGGACATGTCAGCTGGCTATTTCTGCAGACGACAGTGCCCGAAGTTGCACAAATAGGGTGGCATACTGATGGGGATGATCAATAAACAGCTGATCGCAGCAAAAATGAGATATCAAGTTTTTTCCATATTTCGTTGGGCTATGTCGATCAAATCTTCATATTTTTCGAAGACTAGAAATCAAAGTCTCTCTCTCTTTATCTTTTAAAAATCATGATTTTTATGATGTTAATGCTAAGTTATTGTATCCTGTTCATGTCCTCGTTTGCGCAGCAAAGACAGCGCCCACCATCGATTTTTTATAGTGGCTGTTACCAAAGATTGCCCCGGCGGCGATATAGCAAAATTATGAACATCTGCCGGTCGCAAACCCTAGTGCTGCCGCATGTATCACATTAGCTTTAGCCATTTGACCAAACCTGCACAATGTCGCGACCTGTTTTTTCTTTGAACACGCAGTTTCTATCATGCCTACAAAACGATCGCATCGATGGCTCGCTTGACACCGGACTGAGGCGCCGTAATGCTAACCTAGGCACGCCTCAGAGGAGATGCTTTGACGGGGGTTTACTACGGGCCCATCTTTTTCGCTTTAGCTAATCTACTCAGAAATATATGGCATTTTAACTGAAAACATGTGTGTTTTTGTCAAAAAATTTTTGCGTAAAGAACGAATGAAGATGCCTAATTATCGTCGTCTCCCCGGCGTACGTTGGGCGGAGCTTTTGCGGACATTTGGACACATTGGCGGACTTGTCAAGCCTCTACTGCAAAGTATGGCTCTTTGTACTTTCTAATTTGCCACGTATATATGCTGTTGTCACACGTGGCAGAGTAGGTAGCGAGAGATCACAAAAAACAGTGCCTTGCAGTAGAGAGTTAACAAGTTCACCAACTTGTTGAAATTTCCGCAAGAGCTCCGCCCAACGTACGTCGGGGTCACAAGAGAGCTAGAGAAAAAGACACGGCTCACGTTTATTCTAAATTTTAAATATTCTAGATTTTCAAGCTTTTAAGTGGTTGTCGATTGATGAGACATAAACTATCCTGGAGTCAGCATTCTCAAGGCTCATTTACCCCTTCACTTTTCTAGCTCGGAAATAGCCTAATTCCTTCACCTGGAGGGACCCTGCTCCCCCTATCGCGCATGCTTCTGATCACTCCCTTATCGCTAGTCTTTTATTAGAAGAATCAAAACCAATCCAATACTATTAAGTTGGTCAAAAAATTTCTAGCTCTTCTTGTACCAAAGCGGAAATCGTCTAATATAAAAGTAGGAAAACACCTTGTCCCGCTCAGGGCAACAGTTTTACCCATCGTTTTTACCTCTTCATGTTTCTATTTCTAAAAAGTTGCTTTCCGTTTTTACTGCGGTGCTTTGATATCGAATAGATAGAGCGAAGCTATTAGGTTGATCAAAAAATTTCTAGCTTTTCTCGTAACAAAGTGGAAATCGTCTAATATAAAAGTAGGAAAACACCTTTTGCCGCTCTGGGCAACAGTTTTACCCATCGTTTTTACCTCTTCATGTTTCTATTTCTAAAAAGTTGCTTTCTGTTTTTGCTGCGGTGCTTTGATATCGAATAGATAGAGCGAAGCTCTCGCAACGCATCTTTTCTATCTCCTTAGCTTACGTTTCAAAAATTTCACAAATTATTCCTAGAAGTGACCAACTTTCAAGGTCTATTCAAAAATTCTAGTGCAACAAGTTAAGCAGTCCAAGTGCTATCCGATGCATCTTTCCCTTCACTTTGTTATGATCATTACTTCTCAAAAAATTGTCATATCTCTCAATTTTACCTGTTCAAGTAATCGGTACCGATATTTCAAATCTTGATACTCTAAAGCGGCAAGACGTACGCCGAGCAAAGGTAAGACTCTATATGTAGAGGTGTCATCGATGGTTTAAATATCCGCGTTCGGGGTACTTCCTCTCAGCGGAAAGTACTCGTGGGCTGTGCGGTTCTTCAAAAAGGACCGTGCGACCCCCAGCAATTTTTCATATTCTCGCGGAAAGTCTACGAGAATGCGGCCACTGCTCCGCAACTAATTTGTGAAAAAGGCGCACTTTTTCTCTGAGCGTTCGTCTAAAAAGTGGTCGAGAATCTTCCAAATATCTGCAAGCAAACCGCAAGAAATCAGTAAACTATTTTTCTGGTGCCCGCTTGCTTATAAATTGCATCCGCCTACTTTCGGACTCTCTGAGCATATGCGCCGATAGGTTCCACCTGCTCAAAATCTATAAGGAAGGCTTTCAGACCGTGCCGGTTGCCGCTAATGTAGCCGAAACGCAGTGTCGAGCCACTGTCTCCCCGGACTCGTGGGGAGCGAAACTTATTGATCAATCACCACTTTCCTGCGCTTTTTTGTATCATTTTTAAAAAATTTCTGCTTAGGTTGCTTTCGAGGTACAAGTCTTTCGATCACGGTTGCTTCAAAACTTCAAACATCGTCTTTGAGGAGAGATGCGCTAAGTATTACCTACATCAGCCGAAGTTTACAAAGTGAAGTCTTCATTGCGGTTATTTGAGATTTGACCAGGCTCAATTTCTAGCTTTTGTGAGTGGTGCATTTTGCATTCCTCAGAATTCAGGACAACGTTCCTCATTTAGCCTCCCACTTGACCAAAAATGAGTTTCAAAAGTTTGGAAAGCTGTTGGAGTTGAATTAAAATGAGAAACTGCGCTTAATTGGGCACAGAGAGTCGCGCACGAAAATGCTGGTCTATCTCGTTAGTAAGTGACTTTTAAAGCTTGGGACGTTGTCAGCTCTCCTCGTCGTGTCATGACGGTCAGAATGATATATAATGTTACAGGGTTTCGTTGAGACCCCGCGGAGATCTACGACCAGAGCCAAATGCCCCGTCGGCTCTGGTCTGTCTCCGCTGCTTGTCTGCGTCTCCGCGCGCTGCGCGCCCTCGCTACCCCAAACGCGGGGCGCGGGGCATTTGGCTCTGGTACCCTTTTCTTCGCTGTTTCGCACCCAATTTTAGCAAGCTATATATCATTTTGAAGCTCTTGATCTATATTTTTACGCTGACAACGTCCCAAAATCACATTCCTTGATTTGGACGAGAAATCCGGCAAAAACCTTGTTTTCGAAAATCTCTTGTTTTTTTCTAGTTTACCTCTTTTTACCCGGTTTTTTCGTGCATTTATAGATCTTGCTTCTGTTCATAATGCAGACAACCACCCAGCCTTTACCTCTTCGATTATTGTGGATTTTTTTGCGAAAAATCGTAAAAAGTGCGTTTTTCTTTACCTTGTTCTGTTTCAATGCCTTCGCATCGATTTTTTTCCAGCTTGAACGATTGTTGCTCAGAACAATAAGCGCAACAATCCAGACAACGTCCCAGGAAACAGGAACGTCAATGCGGGGGTAAAAATTCAAAGGACGCATTAAAAATCAAAACCCCGTGTTGCCAATTGCTGGTCCTGAAGCGAAAACTTGCACTTTGAAAAGCCGCCAAATGAAAGATTTCAAGCCTCACTGCAGCGTTTTTACCCTATTTTCAGCAGTTTCTTTTGCTTTTTGTATCTGTTTTGTGTCATTTTCTCTTCTCTGATCATCTTTAAACAACCTTCACTATTTATGACGTCAGATGTTCAAACAACCTTCACTTTTGACGCCCTGTCTCTAGACTATCGAAGGTATGATATAGACGATAGTTAGCGCATCTGTCCACAATGTCGATGTTTTAAGTCTAGGAGCAATCATTACTCAAAAACTTGTACGTCACTAGGCGTATAAAAAACAAATTAAGAGACACATATACAGAATATAGATTGATTAATGAGTTTTCGCGCCGCACGCGCACAGGGAGACAATGGCTTAAACCAGTGCAATTGGGACGCAAAAGACATGACAAACATGCATATGTCCAACCACAGCATTGATCCCAAAGAGGCCTTAATGTAAACATGTATTTTACGGAGATACAGGTGGGAACAAGCAGTTGGCATAAGGTGAGGCAGAGGCAAGGAAATGTGTAAATGGGAAGAATGGTGACCTTCCTTGTTACTAGTAAATGAGGCCAAGTGGAATGATTTTTAGCTGAACATAAGCACAAATAACAGCTTGACTTTGGACAAACTTCGGAACAGGGCAGGAGTCGGTGTGCTCAGACAAGTGAAAATGTCAATTACAATGATGCAGAAATTTTAAGCGCTGATTACTTTCTTGTCATGAAGCCATCTGTCATCGCTGACTGCATTATGAGTTTCTGTGATGCAGATTAACTTTCAGCATGTCCTGGACATTGCGAAAGCGGATGGACTCACTTCGACAAAAACGATGCTTGCTACAAGGTAGTGCTGTAGTTTTTTTTTCAAATAAAGCTGATGTGATGAAACGTAGTTTTTGATGATCAGCCCTACAAAATGCGTTGGTTGAAATGGAGTAAACTCTAAATGAGGCAACATAGGTGCAATAAGGTGAGAATGATCCCTCCGGATGAAGGGTGTTTCACTTGGTAGAGAAATTATAAAATGTCGACCGGGGGGTTGGGAGGCGATGGTGTTCTCTCATCATTTTTCCTAGTCAAAGTACATAATTTTCAATTCCTTGCCATTACTGGTTGCCTCTTTTCCAAAATGTGGACCGCTTTGCTGCTGGATTAGCAAACAATTATGTTTCTGACTAGCACCTTGTAATTTTTTACGTCTTTCCTTTTCCCTTTTTTACATCACCCTGCCTGTTTCTGAAATTACCATAAAAAATGTGCATCGAGAACATTAGTTTCGGAAAGAGTAGACAATTTTCAAGCATTTGCGAATTTTCTAAAAGAAAAAATTCGTATTTTCTGTAGATGAAGAGCAACGTCAGCAAACAAATCATTTTCAAAACCATATTGTCTTCCGCTTTCAGAGAATATATACAATACCGCTCACATTTTTTGAAAAAAAGACGCGAATGTATGGACATGTATGGACATGTACGGACATGTCCATACATGTATGGACATGTCCGTACATGTCCGTACATGTCCATACATGTATGGACATGTCCATACATCAGCGTCGCGTGGCCATATCTTGCTTCAGAGTGGACGAATTCTGAATACAAAACCATCATTCGATTCAGCTCGGCGCGGAGAATCTTCTGATATATAGGAAGTGGGGTTACGATGTCTACAATATTCCGTTTCCAGTTTTTTCAAATTGTTCTGCGGAGGTCATTTTGCGAATATGTGAAGCAACGGCTACCCAACATAGAAGACTTTGCTAAGTACTATTCGATAACACTGTTCTTGTAGATTATTGTCCGCTGAAGAACAGGCTCAGACTTCTTTCCAAAGGAGATAGAAGCGTTGGTGAATTTTGGAAAAATCACGCGTTTTAAATTCTACTCGCCATAACTTCCTTCGGAGTAAGTATATTTTGAATCTGAAAACCGCGCCTTGCTCAGTTCATCAAGGCGAATCTTTTTTTATACAGCATGTCCTTGATATTTCGATTTCAGTATTCTTGAATCTTTCTGAGAACGTCTTTTCGCGAAGGTGTAAAGCAGCGAGCATTGCCTCGAGTAAAATCCAGCAAGGACCTTTCGACAGTACTTTTCCTGTAGATTATGATGTGCTAAATAGTAGCCGCAGATTTCTCTTTAAAGGAAATAGAACGGCTAGTGAATTGTGGAAAAATCTTGTCGTCCCAAGTTCTACTCTCCATAGCCCTAGAATACGAAGCTATCTCGCTAAGCGGATGTGAGTTTCGAAATCAGCAGATCGCATAACCTCTACGAACAAGTTTTCCGATATGTCCGGGTTATTTCATTTTTTCTCGTTTTACGCTCCGGAAGCTTGCCGATGGATTTTGGTCAGAATGTTGATGCTCTTGAATTGAAAGGAAACTTCGCTTATGGAGGTTTTCGAACACGCTCTTTACGAAAATCGTGGTCTTTGAGGATTACATGGTCTTTTTGGAGAGATACGGTGAGGTGTGCTATCGAATGGTGCATTACTCAGACAACAGTCTGTGAAATTCGCCGAGTTACGAGCCTACGAAAACACGTTCTCATGAATTTTGCCCAAAATGTAAAGATCGCATATCTCGTCGAAATTCCTCCGTGAGCGCTTGTATGACGTTCGTTGCAGATATTATGTTCGCTTCGTCGAACGACTCCCACTGTACTGAATATGGTGCTTGCGTCTGCTTCAGTTGCTCAATTGAATATCAAAGCTATTTCGTGACTAGAGCTCAAAGCACCAAATCTAACACAATAAGATTCATTAAAAGAATCCAGATACTTTACATCTCAGAGTACTCTGCGTTGATACCACTGCTTCAACACACTTGATCTCTTACGTTTGAGGCATTCTGAGAATGAGTAATGAATAGCACCAATTCGTCATCTGTTTTGCTATAGCTGGCCATGTGCGATTAATTTATCCGACCACGAAATGCATACCAAATACAACCATCAATTCGTATTTTTTTAAATATTATTTTCTTTCAAATGTCTTACTAACCCATATCTTAATATTACGTTAGTTCAGGTCTAATCAATTTACTTCTCTTCCCAATCATTACAGCTTGTTGACTTCCGCTTAAATGAATTACAAAAAGTGAAACTATTTGATATTCTTTCGGAGTCATTGGACTCTCCCGGGAATCATTTGGGCAAAGATGATTGGTATCACTGCACCAACCGAGCCCCGCTTTGCTTCATTATTGCAAGAGCATCTTCTGCTGGCAAATGAGTTGGCATGATTGCCATCTCCATAGATTACAATAACCTAACTTGATCACGCTCACGTATGAGTTATCCATCATTACAACCCTTATTGAAATTCACTTGGAGTCACTGGCTCACACTGGTTTACTGGTTGGTGGGGTCAGATAATACACCCACCATCAAACCTTGTTTGCTTGTCAAAATCAAAATGTTAGGTTGGTGCAAAAGGAATGGCCGATTTGCGAATTCTCAATTTAACGTGCTATAACTTTTGGAAGAATTCACATTTCCGAATGCGGTAAAAACTATCAGAAGCAGCAAACCTTCTGCAATGCAGCGCACATTTATTTATACTCATATCACGAACGGGCAGAAAAATATGGATTGAAAAATAAAAAAGGTTCTTCTGCTAGAACCTTGTCTTTGACAATTCATATCTTCCTTCAAAGTTTGTTAGTATAAATGTTAAGTAGCCTATCTTGTAGCCGCAAGCCAGTAGTACAAAATGCAATAAAAAGAATTCGGACAGAAAAGTTTGCGAAAAAGAAAAAAATTGAAATTTGAAATTTCTCACTTTTTTGAACATTTTTTCAGTGTGCCTCAAAGTCCCGAATATAGAATTTTTTAATTTTCTAAGTACTGAACAGCTGGATGTTTTTGCAAAAACTGCTAACAGGATGCCCTAGCCCTACGCTTACAGAATTGAGAAAAGCTCCGGCGACTGACTTCTTCAGAAGAAAATTATCTTATATATAAAGCTGAATGTCTGTTTGTCTGTCTGTCTGTCTGTCTGTATGTCTGTATGTCTGTCTGTGTGTACGTATGTTCCGAATAGAAAATTCCATTTCTGAACCGATCCGGACCAAACTTGGCACACATACACTACGGGCCCCGGCGGGTGTCATAGGCTACTTTTCGTCATCGATCGATATCGATTTTATCGATTTTTATCGATTTTTTTGCTGAGTTCACCTACGGGGCTGGGAGTTGGCACAGGGGGGTAATCGAGCATGGGGATTCCGAATACAATATTGGTTTTCAGGATTATCGATTACTTTTATCGATTTTATCGATTTTTTTGCAAAGTTTGAGCTACGGGGCTGGGAGTTGGCACAGGGGGGTAATCGAGCATGGGGATTCCGAATACAATATTGGTTTTCAGGATTATCGATTACTTTTATCGATTTTATCGATTTTTTTGCAAAGTTTGAGCTACGGGGCTGGGAGTTCGCACAGGGGGGTAATCGAGCATGGGGATTCCGAATACAATATTGGTTTTCAGGATTATCGATTACTTTTATCGATTTTATCGATTTTTTTGCAAAGTTTGAGCTAGGGGGCTGGGAGTTGGCACAGGGGGGTAATCGAGCATGCTGATCATCCCCAAGGGGGGTGATCAGCATGCTCGAACACCCCTGTGCCAAATTCCAGCCCCCTAGCTCAAATTTTCAAAAAATCGATAAAATTGATAAAAGTAATGGACGATCTTGAAAAGTAATATTGTATTCGTAATCTGCATGCTCGATTACCCTCTGTGCAAACTCCAAGCCCCGCAGGTCAAACTTTGCAAAAAAATCGATAAAATCGATAAAAGTAATGGACGATCCTGAAAACTAATATTGTATTCGGAATCCCCATGCTCACTTCCCCCCTGTGCCAACTCCTAGCCCTGTAGGTGAACTCTGCCAAAAAATCGATAGAATCAATAAAAGCAATCGATAATTCTGAAAACTAATATTGTATTCGGAATCCCCATGCTCACTTCCCCCCTGTGCCAACTCCTAGCCCTGTAGGTGAACTCTGCAAAAAAATCGATAAAAATCGGTAAAATCGACATCGATCGATAACGAAAAGTGGACTGTGACACCCGCCGGGGCCCGAAGTGTATGTGTGCCAAGTTTGGTCCGGATACGGCGGAGCCGGGTAAGCCAGCTAGTGGGTCATAAAATGACCGCAACAGCTACCCATGTTTAGGCGCCCGCCGATATCTCAGTCTGGATAGCCTCAAAGAACACAGTCAAGTATGCATAATGTAGACAATTTTTATTACATACAAAAGCTAAATTTTCGAAGAAATCCCATTGATACGCGCTTAAATTCTGGCCGGAAAAGTGAGTGCAATGAAATTGAATTTGGATGCGGTTATTTGAAGCTCAGTAACTTTACAAGAAATTATGATGAGAGCCCATTTTAAGCACCGTTAGATAGAGCATGAAAACAGCATCGCGATGGTATACTACTTCTTTTGTAAAGAAGAAGAATTGATGGGGAAAAGTTGCCCTGAAAAAAGGCTTGGAAAATCGGCCATTCCTTTTGCACCAACCTAATATTTTGCTGGCAAAAGGGGGCATGGGTACATCTCCATGAATCGCATCATTTAATTCCGATAATTAGAATCATAGAGAAGTCAAATACAAGCTTTCATCACATTTTTATCGAGATTAGACCTAAACTAATGATGCACTATCGTTGCGGTTAGAGTATAAATGACTGCTTTCTATTCTATTGTATGGAACGCCAAGAGAGTATAGAATAAATAAATAAATAAATAAAAATGTGAAAGGATTTGATCAGCGTGTTGTACAAGCGCTCACGCAGGAATTTCGACGAGATATGCGATCTTTACATTTTGGGC